GCAGGACTGGATGGGGAAGGACTTGCGTCGACAAGGTCAAGCGGTTTGCTGCAGTTTTCTTGATGTTCTGTGGTCGAAGCTGGATTCGTTTCTTATTTAGTTGAATAGGTTTGACAAGCACTGACTATTTCATGGACTTATGTTCATTTCTGATCAATTCTGGTGCCTTCACCTCTGATCTTGTGCCTTCCACCAGTGCCTCTCAGAAAGTGTGTTGACCTTGCGAGTGACTTCTTGAAGCGTCCTGGTAAGGCCAGGAGCCCCGATTCTCCTGCGACTGAGTCGGCCGCTGAAATCGGTGTTCAGTGGCCGAACTCCAACGCTTTGAGAGTGGCCGAACTCTCGTGTAGTGACCTCAAAAGACAAAAGCATCTACATAATCCCAAGTGAAACCAACTGGAAGGTTTTTTTGAATTTGGGGGGTCCACTTTTCAATGCAATTTTGATGAATCAAGAGACTCGAAAATCCGCAGCATCCGGTGCGGCTCAAATCCGCGGCGCGAGGACCCCTATGCCGCCGCGGAGGCAGCCATTGCCTCCTGCTTACTCTACCGAGAGGTGGAACGGGACCAGGAAAGGATATGATCACGGATATTTTTCTTCCATCGGTGGTGTTACAACCAATCGTTCGATGGTGATTCTCCAACGGATTCCATGCAATTCCAACAAATTCACAGGGATGAATTCGCTATAATTAGCTTGGAGGCCATCGCTCAAAAAAACTGAGTCCAATGATTCCAAAATGGCTTATATGCTGTGGTTTGCTAGATGGCACCCCCAGGTTCGGTGGTGCAATGATGGAGCCTTATACAAAAGGCATCCTTGGGTCTATGTGCCATCTGCTCTCAATCTGCTGTACTTGGTGGTTTTCCACGTTCATGATGATTTGGAGTGAGTGTAGCGGGGGGGGTTCCTTTTACCGAGGTGTCAGTGTCGAATGACTGTTCCTGGTGGTCCCTCGGAAGCGAGGAGCTGCTGAAGTGGAAGCCGAAATCCACTGAGATCGCGGAGGAAACTCTTCCACTTCACCTCAAACTCGATCTGGTGCACATTTCCATGGGCTCCATGTTCTTCCCGCCACAACGGAGGTTGTGTTACATGCTTTGACCTCTCCCACTATGCTCCGTAGTTGTTTTCTCGAAACTCCATCGACCCGATGAATGCCCTGCTTGGCTGAGCGTGGCGCTTCCGCACCGCGAGGCTCTCCGGACTCGTCGTTGGTCCTCTTTCGCCTCGGTCTTTTGGGTTCTCTTGGTTTCTGCGCCAGGCGGGCAATAGCGGCGGCGAAGCAGAGGCACTCGAGGCGCGGAAGCCGAAGCGGTCAGCGGGTCGGTCTGTCCCACCGGTCTTTTGGATCCACCGGGGAACCCAACGCGAAACGAAGCTCCGTGCCCCAAACCGCCGCCAACTCCGCGCAATCACTCCAAGTCTCGTAGTGATGCCAGGAGCCCCGAACGTAGCTTCTTGTTACTACTAGTAAGGCACTTGTTACTAGAAGCGATGCACTTGTTACTAGTAGCTTCTTGTTACTAACTATAGTAGTATAGTAGCTACTTGCTAAGAAGTGTTTTTCTCGGCGAACATCTCAGGTTGCCGCCCGTGCACATCTCTTGTATGACCCGGAGCAAGCCTTCAAGGCGCGCGACGGAGAGGAGAGTTCTAAGAGTGGCTCCGTTTGTAGGTTGGTTGAGAAGTGAAAACTGAGAAGCAATGCCATACCTTGTAGGCCCGTAGGCTAGGGTTAAGTTAAGCCACTTTCCGGAGATGCACTTCGACTGTGAAGCGGTCCCTTTTTTGCTTCGGAGCATACGGAAAGGTGACGTCCTACATTGCCTCATGGTGTATCATACCAAGAAGATGTGAGTGGCCCTGTGTGAACAAAATCTTGAGCGCCACAAAATGCGTCTTCCGTTGTTCCCCACATTGGAAATGAGTCAGTCAAATATTATTATAGAGATTTAAACATACTGCGGGGTATCACTGTCCGAACGCACCGGCTGTGCTCCGGTGTTCCGCTGTGCCTCCAATCTCCGTCGCTCTGGGCGCCCGAGGCAGCCAAGGAGGCCTTGGCGGTCTGCAGCGGCGGCGGCGCGCTGACGGCCTTGGCGCAGATCGAGAAGACCTGGGCGGCGGCCAAGGCGCAGCTCCACACCGCGCAGCGGGCCGAGCAGGCGCGGCGATCGGAGCGGTGCTGGTCAGGTGGGAAGGACTCGAGTGCCACCCATTTGGGGGGGATCACATTGAGAGTTGGAGGATTGGAAATATGTGGAGCGCGCTGGTGGGAGGGGTGTTTCCCACCCATGAGCTTCTTTTTCTCCCTGAAAGTTGTGATTGGTCAAAACCACCAACCAAGACTTTTAGCCAAAACCTCGACTCACCTCGAAGGCGTCGGGCTTCGATCGTTCGTTCGTGAGACGAACAGCCTCGCACGGTTTTTGACGTAGGCCAAGTCGATCAGCTGCCGCGGGCAGAGCGCTTCCACCTATAAGTCCGGAGCCTCAGTGAAACGAGTGGTGGTTTGATGTGGTTTCACATCGATGTTCCTATGATGTAGTCCCCAAAGTACAGTCCCCAAAGATGGTTTGGGGAGTAAGACCTAATTAGAGCAGAGATGGTTTGGGGGAACAGCCTCATTTGATGGTTTGACCGGTCGGTCAAATGGTGGTGGTCTTTGGAGGACCGGCAGTGTTTGTGTGTGGTAAGAGTTGGAGGACCGGCAGTCCAAGACACCCCTTTCTTGGACAGTGGTGGATATGGGCAGAAAAGGGACAGACAGAGCAGAATTTAGGGATTTGTCAGTTGTCACGTCCCTAAATCATGGGACAAAAACACCTGGTAACCTACTGACCCTGGCCAATACCCAGACTAGAGCAAAAAGGCGAATCGAGCTTAGTAACGGTTGTTACTTGTTGGTACAGTGGATCAAAAGCCACCCTGTGCAATCAGAGGAAACAAGAAACTCTTTGGGAAGATCCACTTCTGTGGGTGACTCGGAGTGACGAAGAAAGCGGATTCCCGGACGAAGGTCAAGCGAGCGGCTGAAGCCACCAAGCCGGACAGTTCCATGGTGCCAAATTGTTTTGGAGCGTTCTTTCTTAAAGGCACGATGGCAAAGTATTTTTTTATATCCCTTCCTGTGTCTAATTGTATAAATATGTCATGTCTTTTTGATTGTCGTATGACTCCTATGGAGCATCTCCATTGCACGATTTCAGACATTTCAGGGCGATGTTTATTTGGATGCTTCTCCGGAGTGTGAGGGGGGGCCAAAAAAATCAGCGAAATCCAAGTGCAAAGGATCAACCCAGTTCATGTGCAAAAAGTCCGGTCAAAGAGACCTGAAATGGCAAAAATAACAAGCCCAATGGCGAAACCTGGTGGAACATGGCTGTAGAATTCCACTATAGTAGGTGGAGTGAACACTGAAACACGGTGCACATGACCGAACACCGGCACAGGTGGCCAAAGGTACCCCAGATACGGGGTCCACCGGTCAGGGAGCTCAGCGGAGGTTCGGTCCAGTTTGGGTGTTTCTTCAGGGATAGACACTCGGTTTGGATCGGTGATCTGTGGCTAAACAGGAGCAATTCAGCTTTCCACGCTCCGTTTCTTTCGCGTGGGCGCCTTTAGAGACACCACCCCTTTTTGGGGCTCCCATAGCTGCCCCATCCGGCCAGGGGTGGTTTGGTTGTGTCGTTTGGATCCGTTTTTCTCGTTCCGAAACTCGACCGATCCCCACCCGGCGCTGGGTCACGATCCGCTCACGGCTGGCGGAGCGGGCGAGGAGAAGGGGGGCGGTGGCCCTAACGGGAAGGGGGCAAGGCTTGTTTTGGATGAGGCCTTTGGAACTCATGAGATGAGTACCATCTTTGCTTCGCACCATGCGCCGCCTTGCGGTTCCAGGGCGCATGGAATGTGTTCTGTGTTGTGTTCGCACCTAGGCCCATGGAGCAGATTTAGGGCGCTCATTCGTTCGAGGTTCCCGCCCATTCTAGATGGGTTTTGGTTGGCCTTTTGTTTGGCTTCGGTTCTTGGGCCAACAAGTGGACGGTTGGTCTTCACCTGGCGGCCTGCACCTTGCCATGCCTCAGGCGGTGGACGTGTTCGCCCAGCAGATGGTTCAGGAGATGGATGGAGAGTTGCATCATCTCAGGCGGTGGATCGATCCAAACAAAGTCTCAAGAAGAATGAAAGTGTTGTCTTCAAAGTAGCCTCTTGATATCTTGTTCTCAAAGTCGGCCTGGGTTCCAAAAAGAAGGCTTCAAAGCCCCATGGGTAAGGCGAAGCTGGAACCGGTCCTTGTTCGGAAATCCCGCTTTTGGCGAGCCAAGGAACCGGCTTTCCACGGTTCCTTTGCGGTGGTTTTTTAAGAATCCAACACACCCTAGCCCGAAAACGGTGGAAGTTCAACGCCAACCATCCAAACAGACCAAGTGAAGACGGCCAGTTAATCCGTTCCAGGACACAGAGATGATCGTTTTCTATGTCGAATGGGGGACAGAACACGAACACCAAAAGGTAGGAGAAGAGACTTCTGGCAGATGTTCATCTAGATTCCGCTGCTGTGGATGATCCACTTCGGAGTAGAAGCTCCAACCGACCTAGTAGTAAGAATGCTCCGTTCGTAGTGATGCCAGGAGCCCCGAACGTAGCGTCCTTGCTCCTAGTAGTAAGGCCAGGAGCCCCTAGAGCTTCTTTTACTATACTCCAACTGACCTACAAACAGAGCTCACCAACTTGGCTTCCTCCCAGACTTGCCGTTTGCACACGTTGAACACCCGCCGTTTGCAGTGGCGCTTGGGCGGAGACCGCCACGTTTCAGTCTTTGGCTCTCTGGAAGGGGGGGCAGGCCTTGCTCAGAACGGGGGCAAAAGTTTTAAGACCCTTTGAAGGACATAGCTCAGAATCCCGATCCCAAGAGTGAAGAAGGACTCATCCACTGTATCCAGTTGGCTGAGATCCATCAGCTGCATCCAGTTCGGCCACACGCTGTCATCGCCATGGCATCCAAGTTGGATCCGGACACCGTGTTCGCCTACTGCGCCGCTCGGACGAGGGTCGTCGGTGTCGGTGTCGAATCCATTTCAGGGGGGGGGTCTACTGGTCCACCGGTTGGCAGGGGTCCAGTGCTTGCTGCTCCAGCCTTTTGGGGATCATGGCGATCAATAGGCAGCCATGAGTGTTTGGTTCAATGGATTTGCCAGGCAGGCGATCGAAGGAAGACCCAAAACCCCCGCGTGACCGGAGTTCGTCGGTGCCATGCTCTTCGTTTGATCAGCAGCCGGTGACGCGGCCGTCGGGGTGGAAGTGACAACAGCGGCGTGGGGTCGTCGGAGGACGTGGTGGCTAAGACCAGCCAAGCTGGGACCAGTTGGAGGACCCGCTTGGTAGCCGGTTCGAAGCTCCCAGTGAAATAGCTCCGGAACCGGGTCTCAGTTCGATCCGTTGCTGCAGTTCGGTGTTCTCCTTCTCCGGCGCCGACGTGAATCGACACGCATGAACTTGGTCCAAGCATCGACACCGAAGCCACTGGAATGGTGTCCTTGCCACACCCTACGATCGATCTCCTTGCCGCCTTTTCTTTCTGAGGACAAGAATGGTGACGGCAAGTGCCTAGCCTCAGAGTTTCAGATCGATTCACAAGGTGAACTAGAATCCAGATCACTCAAGATCCATCAAGTGATGTGCTTTTGTAATGTGGACGCTTGCTTGAAAAATCATGAGTTTAAAAAGTCTAAGAGAAATAGACATGAACCGACGATGATCTCTATCTCCAGACTTGGATGCACACCTCCAGATGACATAGAAATATAGCTTGTTACTAAATAGCTTCTTGTTACTACTAGTAAGGCACTTGTTACTAGAAGCGATGCACTTGTTCCTAGTAGCTTCTTGTTCCTAGTAGAAATAGAAATGAACTCCATGGTTGAAGATGCAACGTCTCCAGACTTCGGTCCGTTGGCTGGGCTGAGACGTTGCATCGGTGAACCCGTTCGCTTGGCCGCGTTCATCGCTGAAGCGTTCTCCGGTCGTGCCATGACCCATGGCGCCCATGTGACGAAACGATGATGTTTGTGTTTTCAAATCGAAGGTAGATCTTCTAGATGGACTTCGTTGCTTGGTCTTTTGTGTTCAAGGTGGTTGCGGCGGTGTTCTTTTGAAACCCGGTTTGCATCGCAGGCACGTCCAAGCAGACAGCCCTATTTTCCGGGCAGCACGCATCTCTCATGTATGAGTGGATGTTGACCCATGAGAGATCCATGGAGTTTGGCTCTCCAATCACCGACAGTCGCATCAAGTCACTGAGCCTGGTCCTAGACCTTCCCTGATATATGGTCCTGTCTGGAGATCCATGTATGTAGTGGGCTGGGGAGTCCCAGGAGACACCGTAATGAAGCTGTTGGGACTTGTTGTTGTTCGATGCTTTTCGTAGCTCTCTGTGTCATACGCACCACCTGTTGATGTTGGTGTGTGGATGTTGACGCCGATGGAGCTCTTCCTGTGAATGAAACGGAATCAACTGACTCCATGATAAAATAAGCACAGAAGTTGCAACAGCCCAGATAACCCTTTGATTCACTGGTACACTGCCAAACCTGAGTGAGCAACTTGGGCCAAGTCTGCAGCCATTTTTGTGAGCTCAAGCGTGTTGCTCCTATAGTACGTACCTAGTTGCAGGTCAGCCGCTCAAGCCGTTCCTTCCAACACATGGCGACACTTCTCCACGTCATCCTGTTTGCTGCCGCTTCGGGCCAGGTCGCACCCGCCCTGTCTTCGTCCGTCCTTCGGCGGCGTGTCAGGTGGACGGTGAAACGACCTGGGGGGGAAACGACCTGAGGTGTTCCTTGGGGTTCGGTTCCCCTTCAGGTTTGAAGCACCTTCCAAGACAACTGGAGAAGAACTGGAGATGGCATCAAGGATGGTGCTCTTTTCTTCGGGATTCGAGCACCACGCGGTGGGAACACTGCGTCCGCGTGACCGGCGTGACGGCTGTTTCAGAAGGAGACAACGTCCATGCGTACGACCATGTGAAGGTGCGGTGTGTTTCCAGCAACATCAACTTATAGCCAATTAAATCGTATTTCAATGTAAGTCACTTTTGGAACAAGATTCTTCAGATCAAGAGCACCGGCTTTTCTGCGGGTCAAACATCTAGAAAATCGTGAACGATTCTGGATTTGGGTGTCCTATGTCCTAACCACGATTGAAAAAGCAGAGCAAACAAGCAGAGCTTTTGAGAAAACCGGGCCCTATGAATTCTGGAGACATCAAGTGTTGCCTGGCTGCCCACCCCTCTATGGGTGTCGTGCGTGGGGCATCACGGTCGACCGGACAGCAGTTCTTGGGAACGGACGTCGGAAAGGACGTCGGAAACCACGACTGAGGAGGGCTCGGTGTGGGGTGCGTGAATGGGTAGGGAGCGTACCTTACTTGGTCTGAGCACGTTTGTACCCGATTCGGAGACTCATCTTGGCCACCCCACAAAAGGGGCCATGAAAAAGGGAAGAACTTCGAAGTCACAGGAAATCACGACCAGTCACAGTCCATGGGTTGCGATCCATGCAGGTGGAGGGGGGTTCGAAGGTGCCCCCTGTCACACCCACTCACGTAAAGGGGACGAGCCACACCACCCCGTCTTGTTTGGTCCTGGTAGGATATAGAAGTGAACCAAACGAAGAGCCGCCGATGGCGGCGGTGACCCGACGCTCCGGGTCACGGTGCCCGGGCGTTGGGAATTCCCAGGTGCCGCAGCCTCCGATTCCAGCCTTGCGCGGAGCCAACCGAAGCCTGGAAGGGGAAAATCAATCGAGTTAGATGGGTGAGAACAGCGACATCTTAGTGGTTGATGGGGTGAGCACCATGGTTCTCCATATGTCTTCCTATTTCATCATGAATGTGTTTGAGTTTGTTGTATGTTTTCTATTTTTGTCGCTTTGCTTATTGCAGTGACTATGATTGGTGCTGCCATTTGGAGCTCTAGAAGTGACTTGAGATGGCTTGCTTGAAGGCTAAGACCGATGGCCTCCAACCTCCTAGCGATGCTCCACCCTACTAGCGATGGCCTCCACCCTAGTAATATGCTTCATTACTGCCTTTGCCTCGATGAGCGCACTTTCCGTCTTTGTCTTGTTTGCAGGAGTGCTTAGCACGTCGATAATGGCAGTCCCACCCATCCGTAGGGTTTGTTGAGCCTCCCGCGCTGATCCCCAGACGGAAGGTGATTCATCTCGAAAGCAAGCAGAATAACCCAAAGAACTGAGTATATTCTGTGCGGTTCTGGCCCAAAACACTTGTTTTTAACCCGAAATCAAATCGTAACGAGGTCAGAAGATGTTTTTGGCCACCGGGTCGGAAACCAAACGTGTAGTCGTGCTAAAGCTGAAATTGGCTGACCCGGTGGCCATGGATGTCAATGAGTTGTTGATGTGACGACAGGAGGTTCGGGTGGGAGGGGTTTGGGGGGGGCTGGTTTTGTTTGTGTGATGAGTACGTAGAACACGATGGTGATGAGTTGCTGATGTGACGACAGAAGATGCTACACAGGAAAAGAGAGCGCGAGTTTTTCGGCGCCGTTCCTTTGGGTTCTTCAACTTGTCTGAACAAAACGAGTCACGAAACGAGACCCCAAATTTGGGAAAAGCATGTCAACTCTTCCACAAAACACAGGGTTTTGTAGGGAACACCGTCAGGCTCCGTGCATTGGTCACACCCACTGACATAAGACACAGATGTTTACAGGGCTTTGGTGGTTCGGGTGACTTCCTCATGTTCAGAAATGCACACAACTACACGTTCACTTTCCGCCCGGAGGGTTGTTTTTTGTAGGTCTGCAGAGGCGCGTGTGAACGGCAGGACGACACATCAAAACAAGCCAATTTTCTGTGCAGAACGAAGTTACTGCGAAATCTGGCTTATTCCCCAAACAGTGTGGACGCACTAGGGGTTCTTACGGTAGGTGAAAAGCAGCTGATGCTTAGATCGCTGAAGCGCGCGGGCGTGCGCGGCTAATTCGTTGCTATTTACAGTACATTCATGCCTCTCGAAATCGTCGAGGTGCATTTCGATTGCGCAGGCTCGCAAAGTCTGGGTGGCCGCGGCGGGTGCTTCTAGCGACTGCGCTCTCGTTGTGGTGCCGCGCGCATTTTGGCACATGGTGGTCACTTTTCGTGCCAGGCGCAAGGGAAACCTCGTGTTTTGGTGTTTCAAAGTCGATTTTTCGTGACAGGTGCAAGGGATCTTCGAAGTGCAGTTTTCGTGGCAGGCGCAGCACTTTGGGCATGGTGGTGATCGTCGAGGAGCTCAGATTTCGTGACAGGTGCAGTGAGTCGTGACTTTTGGACATGTGGCTCGTTTGCAGATTTCGTGGCAGGCACATTTCATGGCAGGTGCAGCACTTGGTGAACCTCGAAGTGCAGATTTCGTGGCAGGCACAGCACTTGGCGAACCTCGAAGTGCAGATTTCGTGGCAGTCACAGCACTTGGTGAACCTCGAAGTGCAGATTTCGTGGCAGGCACAGCACTAGGTGAACCTCGAAGTGCAGATTTTGTGGCAGGCGCAGTACTTTGCGCTCTCAGATGCCCACTCTCTCACTCTCCCACTCTCACTCGCACTCACACTCACACTCACTCACACTCACTCACACTCACTCTCACTCTCACTCACACTCGCTCACTCACTCTCCCACTCTCACTCACACTCACTCTCACTCACTCTCACTCTCACTCTCACTCTCTCACTCTCACTCTCACACTCACACTCACACTCACACTCACTCACTCTCCCACTCTCACTCTCACTCACTCTCCCACTCTCTCACTCACACTCTCACCACCACCGCCACCGGCACCACGATCCCCACCATCATCACCACCATCACCTCTCTGGGCCCCAATTCGTCTAGATCTCTAGACTTTCTGCTTACATACCTCACACGCACTGTTTGGGGTCTCTTGTACAAGTACAAGCCCATCGTGACAAGTTGAAGAACAGGCCGTCAGTCCACAACACAGTGAGGACTCATGTTCTGCACATCTTTGGTCCATCTGCGAATCCGCGACGGAACACAGCCCGGTCCACTCCACTTATATTTCTATCTAGGGCCCCTCGCTCTCCGATCGCTTGCCCCCGTATGTTTTCGTTGGTTTCCGTCGATTTCTTTCGAACACACAGTCTATCTCCGGCGCAGCACTTCCTGCAAGACAACCTAGTCCTTCAGCCCTGCACCTGCAGCCGCACGCCATGGCCAGGCGCACGAAGGAACAAGTGAAGAAGACAGACGCGGTCGTGAAGCGCTTCTACCGTCCCAACGCTCACATGAATGTCGAGGAGCTGAATTCTGCCCTCGACGCCGCCTCCCTACCCAAGATCGCTGGACGATCTACCGAAAGGGCTGGCTTCACAGAACTGCCACCAAAGGTGGCAGTTCCAGACGCAAGCTTGCACATGGCCATGATGCCCTCAGCTGGATCTGGGGCACTTGCACGCGGCACCGCCGGTGGGCCGCAGCGGCCGAGATGATTGCCGCCTACATGGTCGCCCGCCAAGTGGTCCACTTGTATGGACCCACTGACAAGCCTCGGCGGGTGGCCTTCAACGGTGGAAATCTGC